CCTGCAAGGGACATGATGTTATTCCTTTTTATGGCTGCATAGTATTCCATGGTGTGTATGTGCCACATTTTTCTTTATCCAGTCTATCATTCATGGGCATGTGGGTTGATTCCATGTCATTTCTATTGTGAATAGTGCTGCAATGAACATACATGAGCATGTATCTTTGTAATATAATGATTTATATTCCTTTGTGTGTATACCCAGTAATGGGATTGCTGGGTCAAATAGCCTTTCTGGTTCTCAATTTCTGAGGAATGGTCACACCATCCTCCACAATGGCTGAACTAGTTTACATCCCCACCAACAGTGTAAAAGCATTCCCATTTCTCTGCAAACTCACCAGCATCTGCTATTTCTTGACTTTTTAATAATCTCCGTTATGGCTGGTGTGAGATGATATCTCACTGTGGTTTTGATTTGCATTTCTCTAATGGTCAGCGATGAGAAGCTTTTTTTCATAGGATTGTTAGCCATCTTCTTTTAGAAAGTCTTCTTTTGAGAACTGTCTGATTATTTCCTTTGCCCACTTTTTAATGGGGTTGTTTGTTTTTCTCTTGTAAATTTATTTAAGTTCCTTGGAGATTCTAGATATTAGAACTTTGTCAGCTGGATATATTGCAGTTTTTCCCCTCACTTTGTAGGTTGTCTGTTCATTCTGGTAATCGTTTGTTTTGCTGTGCAGAAGCTCTTTAGTTAATTAGATCCCAATTGCCAATTTTGGCTTTTGTTCCAATTGCTTTTCATGTTTTTATTGTGAAATCTTTGACTGTTCCTATGTCCTGAATGGTATTGCCTAGATTTTCTTCTAGGATTTTTATAGTTTTGAGTTTTACATTTATGTCTTTAATCCATATTAGTTAATATTTATATAATGTGTAAGAAAGGGGTCCAGTTTCAATTTTCTGCATATGGCTGGCCAGTTCTCCCAGCACCACCTATCAAATAAGAAATATTTTCCTGGTTGCTTGTTTTGGTCAGGTTTGTTAAAGATCACATAGTTGTACGTGTGCGGTCTTATTTCTGAGTTGTCTATTCTGTTCCATTGGTCCATGTGCCTGTTTTTGTACCAGTATCATGCTGTTTTGGTTACTGTAGTCTTGTAGTATAGTTTGAAGTCGAGTAGCATGATGTCTCCAGTTTTGTTCTTTTTGCTTAGGATTGTCTTGGCTTACAAGCTTTTTTTGGTTCTATATGAATTTAAAAATAATTTCTTCTAATTCTGTGAAAAATGTCAAGGGTAGTTTAATAAGAATAGAATTGAATCTATACATTACTTTGGGCAGTCTGGCCATTTTCACGATATTGATTCTTCCTATCCATGAACATGGAGTCTTTTTCCATTTGTTTGTGTCATCTCTGATTTCCTTGAGCAGAGGTTTGTAGTTCTCTTTGAAGAGGTCCTTTAATTCCCTTGTTAGCTGTATTCCTAGGCATCTTATTCTGTTTTTTGCAACCTTGAATAGAAGTTTATTCATGATTTGACTCTCTGCTTGTCTGTTGTTGGTGTATAGGAATGCTTATGACTTTTGCACACTGATTTTGTATCCTGAGACTTTACTGGAGTTATTTTTCAGCTTAAGAAGCTTTTCTGCTGAGACAATTGGATTTTCTAGATATAGGATCATGTCATTTGCAAACAAAAGCAATTTGACTTCTTCTCTTCCTATTTGAATATCCTTTCTTTCTCTTACCTGATTGCCTTGGCCAGAACTTCTAATACTATGTTGAATAGGAGTGGTGGGAGAGGGCATCTTTGTCTCGTGCTGGTGTTAAAGGGGAATGCTTCCAGCTTTTGCCCATTAAGTATGATATTGGTTGTGGGTTTGCTATAGATAGCTTTTATTACTTTGAGGTATGTTTCTTCAATACCTAATTTATTAAGAGTTAAAAAATATGGAATACTTCAAATTTTTTGTGTCAGTCTTGTGCAGAGGCCATGCTGATCTTCTCTGTATTGCTCTAGTTTTAATCTATGTGCTGCCAAAGCGAGCACTGATCACAAGTTCTAAAAAGTGGAGATAACTGAAGAAATGTGGGTGAGAGTGAGTGTTGGATTTCATTTGCGGTAATTTTTGTATCTAGCGATATGTGATTATCTCTGTCTTTTATTCTTTAATTAAGTGGTAAAATGCATTACAGATTTAAAGTTTAAATATTCTTGTATTCTTGGGATACATAATCTGGGCAGGATATTTAATTTGTTTACAGCTCATTGGTGGACACAGTCTACTACTATTTTTCTCAGGATTTTTACATCTAATTGCTTAGAAGTGATTATCCTATCATGCTTTTCTCTTATGTATTCCATAGCTGGCTTTAGAATCTATGTGATTTATGCATAAACAATAATGAGTTCACTGGCTTTCTCCATGTTTCCTCATTCTCTTGAATATTATGTATAAGTTCAGTAACCTTCTTCGAAGTTTTGGTAGAACTGATCTGTAAAACACTCTGGATATGCCTGAAGGGAAATAAAGTTTTGCAATCATTTTAACTTCTTTACTTGTTGTTAAGTTCTTCCAGTTGACATAATCTTGTTCATTGTTCACAATTACTTAAACCTCTACTGTATCTTTAGTAGCATATTTATCTGTCATAATGCTATTTTATTCTTAATTACCACTGTCTGTTTTATTTTTTCCTCCAAATAAACAGCTGCTTTTGGCACGCTGGGTCCTCAACAGTGGCAGCTGCCAGGTCATCCCCAGTGAATGTTGACTCAATTGCTGTGCCCATGCAGTGTCCATCTCAGCCATCATGGCCATTTTGTGCAGGGAATCCATGAGCAAGACCTCTATGGCTGAGTGGTCTCATCCATCAAACCATCTCATCCACCTTATTACAGGGAGCTCCATCCCCTAAAGACCCTCTGGGAGGCTTCCACATACAACCACTATCTTCACACATTCTGCCTATAGGAGGAGGTCTATGTGTACCTCTCTCCTCCACCTCCCAATTTTCCAACTCTGTTTTCTTCAAGTTGGTGACTGGCCAGCCAAGCCATGAGCCACTGCCCATGACTCATTCATTCATGCACTACTGGGGCATCATTTCACATCTTCCACCTCCCGTGGGCCTGTTTGGGTTTTGATTCCTAGTTCCTGGCTCAACAGCCATTTCCAAAGTTGTTCTGGTGTCAGCTCCCAAGCCCACTGCTCTTGTTGTAGATTCTCCTCTTTATATGTATTTATTTCCTGGAATTTAAAAAAATTGCATTCATTTTTTTCAATGCAGCATTTCCAAGGATGTGTAGTAGGAGCAATTCTTCTTACTGTAGATAGAATTGCTTCAAAACACCAGAAATGTCTATTTGAGTGAAGCACAGCATGCATGGAGAAAGGAGGACAACCCACAAGTGGACAGTGGATTTTCACAAAGTGAACACTCGGGCAAACAACATCCACATCAAAGTACAGCCATCACAACCTCCCAGAAACACCTTTGGGGCCTACTTTGTCATGAACCACCCTCCCCACCCTAGAGTAGACACTCTTGATTTTTCAGCTCCATCAAGTCATTTTTCTAGTTAGCATTTCATCTAACCTTTTCTCAGGATTCTTAGTTTCCTTGCATTGGGTTAGAACATGGTCCTTTAGCTAGGAGAAGTTTGTTATTACCCATGTTCTGAAGCCTGCTTGTGTCAATTCATAAAACTCATTCTCCATCCAGTTTTGTTCCCTTGCTGGTGAGAAATTGTGATCCCTTGGAGGAGAAGAGGTGTTCTGGTTTTTGG